CGAGTCTTTTGGCGTTTCATCCCCACCTCCAACCCTTTTCCTCTTCTCAACGGAACCGCCCTCTCGTGTTGTTGGCGTCCGAGCACTCCCTCCTACCTTTCTCTGCCTTTTCAGAGCATCTAGTCCCTCTCGCTCTTCCTCATCCGGCAAGTTGCGCTTGCCTCCCAACTGAGTCTTTTAAGCCGATCTCTCACGGAACAGCCCCTGCTCGGACACCTCCTCCTCACCGGCGACGTTCCCACTTGCTTCTCGTTCCTGGCTCAACTCCGTCTGCAATTCCCCCGACGCTGGTCAGGCCCGGCGAGTCGTCTCATCTGACCCACGCACCTCTCGAACCTGCAGACCACCCGCTCGATCTCCAGGCGAAACCTCGGCCACCTGCATGCCACGAACGAACGAACCGATCCTTTCCAGCAGACCACGAGGAGTCGTCGATTCTAAGCCCTGTCGCAACCGTTCGCCATCGCCTCCTCCATGTGGCGTCGACTCTCCAAGCAAACCATGGCGGCGAGATACATGCAAGCCCGGTTTCAAAGGAGCACGCGGATGGTCGTCCTCCGAGTCGTCTGACATGCCCACCTCTTGATCAGGAGGCGTAGCTGGCAGGCCACCCTGACTTCTCATCTCCCTTTCTGAGCACTCTCCTCCCGCGAACCCAACAGGACCACTGATCGATGTTCCAGGTCCGACGTCCAGGGCACTAACACAGGTACCAGATTTCGCCCAGACCTCGAGGAAGTCTGTGATGTGAACGGCCTCGTCGTGCCTCGGCGCTAGCGGGAGAAAGTGAGGCAAAGACATCGCACGACGGCCGTACCCGCCGAACATCCTCCCGGCAACCTTGCATCCCTTTGCGATGCCGTCGACAAAACCATCACTTTTGTAATGCTTCCTCAAAGTAAACTTGAAATTGTATTCGCCATCGTCGACCCACTGGACGATGGACCCTGCGAGACGCGTTCTGTCGGCGTGAACGGCGACGAACAAGAGCGGCCCGCACGGTGGTTGCAACGGGTCGGAGCCGTCCTGGCTCGCCCAGTCCAAATACCAGACGCGTTTGCTGCAGTCGCACCACAAGTTTTGAGCACGTCGTTCTTCCTCCCCACCTCCAACTCCCCGACTCGTTTCCCTTGCCGGCGACGACGTCGTCCCTCGACGCTCCTCTCCGTGCGGGGCGGAACCACCAGCGGAGCGGCCTCGTCCGTGTGAAGCCATTCCCTGAAACACAGGGAGGAAATGAACCCACATTCACTCAGAACAGTCAGCACGTCCCAACATCAACCACGACCCACAACACGTATTCTGTTATCGGTCACCCGGACTCCAAAAGAACAAAGTTCAGTCATAGTTAGACGACAGTGGTCCACAAGCCTGCACGTTTCGGATGAATCCGAGGCATCGTGAACCATCCTCGTCACAATTGACACGTGGACGTTTGACTGTGCCATCTGATCGGGGCGAGTGGCCGCCAATGGAACGAGATCCGCAAACGCACCCCGAGGTACGTTCGCGAAAGAAACAGGCCAACGCATAAGACGAGCGAAATAGAGACGCTGAAGACAAACTAACGACGGGGACGAAGATGGTAGTTGAACACGACGACACACACGTCCACGTGTCAAGTCGTGATCATGCGTGGCCACGCTGATGGGTGCGGGGCTCTATTCCACAACATTCTGTTGCCGCATAGAGCCCCGCATCCATCAGCGAGCCCACGCTTGTTCAGGACCTGCCACGTGGACGTGTGAGTGTGCCATCTGATCGGGGCGAGTGGTCACCAATGGAACTAGATTCGCGAAAGCAGGCCGACGGAAAAGATGAGCGACATAGAGGTAGTGATAGAAAACCGACGACGATGGTGATGGAACACGACGATGTTGGTTCTGTCTCGTTCGTTTGTCTGCGCTTGTAAGTTATGTTCGCAAACTTTGTGCGAACGACACAGACAAGTGCAGTGAAACGAACGAGATAAAAGACAGAAAGAGAGATAAAGAGATAGCGGGAGAGAGAGAGCGCGACATAGAGGCGATCTCTGCCTTCATCACACGACCCAATCAAACGTCACGATCAAATGGCCCCGAACGTCATAGACTCCCTATCACACATCGAACTCACGGAGAGAAATCCCAATTGGATCACACGACACTGCTTGTTCGCGGCGACTGAACCCAATGTAATCGCCATCGCGCGAATCCCGACTACAGATCGCGTACATGTGTGGGCATTCTGACGGTCTACGCAAACCCAGCATGGCAGGACTTTTCAGGTCGGTGGAGATGGCGAGAGAAAGAGAGAGAGGGAGAGAGGGAGCGAGAGAGAGCGAGAGAGGGAGAGAGAGAGAGAAAGAGAGAGAGAGAGAGAGAGAGAGAGAGA